TCTCTCTCTCTCTCTCTCTCTCTCTCTCTCTCTCTCTCTCTCTCTTTCTCTAACTATAATATTTATATAGGAAATGAAACGGTCACAGAAGTGCAAGATACAAAATATCTAGGCATAATTATAGATAAGCATTTAACCTTCGAGAAGCATGCATGGTACATGGCAAAGAAAGTAGGGAAAAAAATAGGGTTTTTAGGACGAATAAGGAATGTTGTAAGTAGTTATGTAAAAGTGTTGATATATAAAACAATAATTGCACCGCACTACGAATATTGTAGTAGTATAATGTTAAATTTCAATCAGGGCTTGATGCAAATGCTACAAAAAACGCAAAATCGTGCAATGCGAATAATATTAAATGTGAATAGATACACGGCAATTAAATCTATGTTGGAAGCTTTATGTTTCATGAGTGTAAAACAAAGAATGGAATATAATGTATGCGTACTAGTATATAAGATGAGGAATAATATGGTGCCAAAATATTTATCAAGTGAAATAAAAAAAATTAGTGAGAAGCATGCATATAACATTAGAAATAATGCAAACATAGTAGTAGAAAGGACACGAACACTAACAGCACATAAGAATTTAACGTATAACGGGTTCCAAATATTCAATGACATCCCAGTAGAAATACAGAATATAACGGAAATAAAATGCTTTAAAACAAAGCTAGCAAAATACATAAAAGAGAGAGATAATAGGAGCAGATAAGTGCGTAAGTGGATAGGGAAAGATTTTGCGATTAGTAAGGCATAAGAAAGTATTCAGGCACAATGTATGAAATTTGTTTATGCTATATACATTTTATAGAGCGTTAATATGATTAGTAATGTATAAAAGAGTTATTCGGGTATAATGTCTGAAATTGTGTAGGTTATACATGTTGTAGCGTTTTTTATATGTAAAGTAGCCAAGGGCTAAATAAAGACATCTGTACACGTTCCAGTAAGAACGTAAAACCGTACTGGTTATTAAGAAAACTCAACTAGTATAATTCGTTTGAAAAGTAACCTTTCGATATATTGATTGAATATATTTTTTTTGAACTTTGAGAGTATAACGCGGTATTAATATACATTACATATAAATGAAATACATAGTTTAAGTGTCAGGAGACTCAATTCTTAATAGTCCGTTCACTTTAATAAATATATATCCGGTGCCGGAGATATTCCCGAGCAGAAATTTTGGAAGGGCCCTAATGGGGACCTAATAAGCATGCCCTAACGCCTGATCAGGGGCTCATCAGGTAGTCCTTGTTAGGCCCCGATCGTAAATGTAACGTCGAGAATTAAAATTGCCTGATCATGTTTTCCTTATCAGGGCCTCATGACAGCCCCTTGTTGCGCCTTACATTTTCGGCTGGTAGGGCACCAGTATTATATCGATATAGATTAGGTTATAATATTTTAAAAATGAATTTTAGTAATGATTTTATTGAACCGATTAATATACTTATATATATTTTTTATTTATCTTATTTATATACTTATAATCATACTAAAATCTTATATATATTATATATTTTAAATATGACTGCCTTTAATATCACATAATATATACTTATAGTATCATATATACTTAAATAATATCATATTGAATATGTATCTATTATTCATAAACAGCGTCATCGTCTCCTTCCATTGTCTCTTCCAATTCTTCTTCTGTATGAGTTGGGTTTAATTTTTTTTGTCTCATTAGTCGATGGCCTTCCCAATCCTTGGCATTGTTAAGTATGCTGCCTAATGTTGAATAGTACATCTTGTCTGTAATTGGTGGATGAGCGTTCGATGTCGAATATTCTTCGATGACAGCGTCTGTAATTTACGAATGAGATTTAAGAGCTAGCATAATAATCAAAATTATAAATACATCAGATATATGTACAGAATACGAAAAATATATGATTACTTTGAATGCATGACGAGAAAATAGTTGTTTTCAAGATTTGCTTTTTGTCCACTTTTTTAACGGCCGTAAATGCCATAGCTACATCTCTCGACATATATTTTTTTAAAATATTAGTCAATGATTTTAATAAAGACGTGCTTGTGTCGATATTTTTCCATAAATTAAGTTGCTAAAAACACAATACGTTTAAAATCAAGTATATAATTTATAAATGCAGGATAAGTATTTATAGGAAAAATGTCTTACAAAATCTTGCCGAAATTCTTTGTTTTTTAGGTTTTCTTCAAATTGCATAAAGTTTTCCAGCGTTTTACATGGAAATTCCATATCATATTTTTCAGAAAATTGAATATCAGTGCAAATTTGACGAGAAATATTCTTTTCAAGAGATACAATATTTTTCAACTCATTTATGTTTAAAGTTAATTGTGTTAACTGTGAACATACACTTCTGAATCCTGATGTCACCAAGCGCGCTAAATCTATAGCATATAATGCAATAATTAAAATGAATAGCATAACGATGAAAATTTCCTATATTGGTCTACTGCAGATCTTGGTGCCTAATATTAATTTTTGTGTGAATTTATTTATAATCTCTAGCTCATGCAAACTGCGCGCCGCAAATTTCATCGGTCTTGAAACACGAACCTGGATCTCCCAGTCCTGGCTGAGGTATCATTTTTCGCAATAAATTCTTTACAGTTTCTTTCGGGGAGGGGAATCTTATAGATGCTTCTTAGCATCAAACTATTAAATTGCTAATCAATTTAATTTGTAATATTACGTGTCTCAGCTTCATGTAAGAACTGTGTTTCAAGACCGACGAAATTTGCGGCGCGCAGTTTGCATGAGCTATAGAGATAGTAAATAAATTCCCACAAGAATTATTATTAGACACCAAGATCCGCTGTAGACCGATATAGGCAATTTCATCGTTATGCTTGACACTTTCATTGGTCCTATTCATTATTGTAAATTAAAATTAGGTATTAAAAATTACGCAGTAAAATATAAATTAATAAAACTTGCCATTAGTGGTATATTGTTTCCTCTCATCAAACAGATAACTGGGACTTTTCTCGACACAATGTTTAGTGTTTGAAGTAGTATTGCCATCAGTGTATTGTCCTAGAAACCATTGCAACAATTAGAATATAATATCACTTTACATATGAATGCTTTTAAATCCATATAAGAAATAAGCTTACAGAAATAAGCAGAAAACATTTATAATGCGCAATAAAAAAAATATACATAAATACCTTTGCTCATTTGTAACTGTCCGCTTTTTAACACAATTGGATTTTTCTCGGTTTTCTCAGTCTCTGTATTATCTGAAACAATTACAGATATTAAATAAATATACTTTTTATTTTTACAAAATTTGAATATATGAAGGCAGTTTTCCAGTACGCACTGTAATATTAGTACTTCAAATATATTATTTACGTTACGTATACTATAGATTTATAGATTTTCAGTACTGGCATTACTGTATATCGGAACACGGCTAAAATATACATTAAAACAATCGTGTAATAAATAGAGATCTTACCTTTAATTGCACGACTTAAAATTTCTATTTTATCCAACTTTTGTTTATTGGATTTGCATAACGTCCTTGATTCTTTTTCCATATCTTTGGAAATTGCTGCAATATATAGAAATTAGATATATTTTATTTTCGTAAAGTACTATACAGGGTGTCCCGAAATTCGCGAATCAAAATACTATAGCAATGAAGTTCTCGAGAAATTAAATAGAATAGTTATTTATAAATTTTTATTTTAAATAATAGTTTTTGAGATATAAGGGTTTATATATAAAGCTGGCCAATCATAAATTACATTTTGACAGTCACATGTCCATGAATTGCGTGAGCGGTGGATTAGTGACTTCAAGACAGACGTTGACGTAAAATACATTTGTTATATATTATATGCTCACGAAAATAAGCAGAAAATATTTATAACTGATTTTGTCAATACAATCTGCCAATTTACACATTTTTATCGATTTCAACTAATTCTATAAATTAACGGACAATATTAAAAAATATATAATACATATATATATATATATATATATATATATATATATATATGTTTATATAAAAGAAATTATACACATACCTTTACTCATTTGAAACTGTCCGCTTGTTAACGCAATTGAGTTTTTCTTGGTTTTCTCAGTCTCTTTATTCTCTGAAACAATTACAGATATTATAAATATATTTTTTTATTTTTACAAAATTAGAATAATTAAGGCAGTGTTCCGGTATATACTGTAAGTCAGTACAAAAAATCTATAATTCAAGTTATGTATACTATAGACTTCAGTACTGACAGTACATATCGGAACAATGCCTAAATACGCATTAAAACAATCGTGTAATAAATAGAAAACTTACCTTTAGTTGCATGACTGACACTTCCCATTTTCTCAAACTTATGTTTATTGGATTTGGTTCCTGATTGTTTTTCCTTATCTTTTGAAATTACTGCAATATACATATAGAGATTAGATATATTTTATTTTCAAAAAATGCAATATACAAATATTTTTAAATAAATACATACCATTTTTTATTGTATTGTGACTATAAGTTTTTTGGCATTGTCGTTTTGTATATAAATTTTCTTCATTATTTGAAATTGCTAAAATAAATCAAGTAGATAATTAATTATATGAATAGTCAATAATTAATTAATTAAAATACTTACATTCACTCTCTTTGCTGGTCTCGCTGAGTAGGCTGCAAGTGTCATCGTCGCTGTATAACGGTGGAACATTCAATAATTTTTTTTCCACATCGCGGTTAGTTTTAATTGCTTTTAGTTTGTATCTTTTTGTATCAGAAAGTGCTCGGGATTCACCGTGATCACTTTCTGTGGAATAAACATATTTCTTTTCTTCTAGTTTTTTTAATTTATCCAAGGCTAACTCGTAAGTTTCTAGAAATATATTAATATTCAAGAATTACAAATATAAATTGACATAATCACATAAAAGTGAGCATGAGTTTAAATAGTTAATCACGTATCATCAATGGATACTAGATTGTACAAGGATCATTTGAAAAGTTCGCGAACATGTTGTCTATATGCAAAATATAAAACAGATATTTTGTTTTACGTATCTCCGCATTAACAAAATAAATTTGCTTATGAAATTCCAATTAAGCAATAAAAAAAATTTAGCAAAAACTTACTGGCGTCTCCTACAATATTAATTTGATAGAATGGCCACGATTTTGGTGGTTCTGCTCTACTTTTGACAAGAGAATGTAATAATTCTGCCGTCTCGGTTGTATATGGCGGTGGCATAAAAACTGTCTTTAAGTTCCCAGCCTCATTATCGTAAACAATCCATTCACACGGTACAACATCCACACTTCGACCTTTGCATCTATCTTTAGATATAAACTCTATAAGTTTATAAATTCTACTGGATTCTGCCACATTCTACAAAATAAATATTATTTTTATATCAATTTAATGTTTAATAATTAAGAAGGAAAATGAATGTCACAATAAGTGTGTAATAATGCAAATAAATATCGATACACCTATTATTAAAGTAAAAGTATTATGTAATTGAGAAAACTAGGAAAATATTACCAAAATGGGATAGGAGAGAAAGAAAAGGAAGGGAAGGAAGGTACAGAGGAGGCAGGGAGGAAGGAAGGAAGGAAGGAAGGAAGGGAGGAAGGGTGGGAAGGAGGGAGAGAGAGATGTTTTGCGAGAAGTTAAAATTATAGGCTACAACACAAGAAAAATATTTAGGCACAGCAGTTGCCCGTGTAACGCGTAACGCGGTCGAGTGTGGACGTACTAGTCCAACACTAATGTCTCTGATAGCAAAATGCTAGCAGATTGAGGACAGATTGGCAGCAAATTCAATCAGATTCCCACTGCAGATCTATAGCAATCTGTGGTTTTTTATCTCTCTCACGTATCGCGTTAATTTTGGATTGTTTTACTTTGATATCGTTCATGGCCATGTTGGCCGTATGCGCGGGAATCCGCTCGGTGCCAGTAACCAAAGAAAAAAAAAGGCACAGCATCCGGGACTCAAGTCTAGATCTTTCCCCTTCTCAAGCAACAACTCTGCCACAAAGCCACAATTACTCCTCTCCGATACTTCTGTGCTTCGTTTATTACATATTTTACGAAATGTAACTTGCATTGTTTGTTTTATAATTTAGAGGTTAATTGACGTGTAGGTTAGTATCGAAATTACAAGGCAGGTTGAAATTGCAATAAAATATAAAAAGCGAAAATTACAGAAAATAATATATATATATATATACCATTTGTGAGAATTTCTCCTTTCCGGACATCGTACTACAATAAAGACGCACGTTCTCGGTTCTCGCGAGGGATATCTCAGATGCGCACACTAAAGAAGAGAAGAGCCATACAGCGACAGCGACAGCCGTGTTAGCCAGGTTAGCCAACATGCGCACATATATACGTGCGCCGCTCAGCGCCGCGCTGATTGGCTTCTCTTTAGTGTATGTGCCGGGTCATTAAATGGCGCCAAAAACTTCGAATAAAGCCAGCAGCACGTAAAAAACTGAAGTAGTAATAAAGCGGGGAGCACACACTTCTGCACAACGCATAATGCGTAAGCATAAGAAAATTGATTGGTCCATACACATGTGCATAAGGAAATAAACCAATCAGTTTTCTTATACTTACGTATTATGCGTTATGCAAAAGTATGTGTTCCCCGCTTAAGACTTAGGGCCAATTTCTTCACCGTTGGATAACTTTATCGAAGGATAGAATTATCTGACGGTGAAGAAATTGGCTATTAAGCAGTCATAAATTAATCAATTACAATACATAATTATCAAAAATGTTTAACTATAATTGATCAAGTTCTTTATTGCTTAAATCTTATTGTTTAAGTTTTTCTAGGTGTCCCTGGACTAATAATAGGCAGTATTCTCATAGTCAGTTTCTTTCTATGATTTAAAATTTCATATGATACTTTTTTCAATGAGATCCAATAAATAAACAATGACAACGATATGATCAACATCTTGAGACCGTCTTAAGCACGGTCTCAAGATGTTGACCACATCGTTGTCATTGTTTATTTTATTGGATCTCGTTGAAAGAAGTATCATATGAAGATAATTAAATAATAACCTATGCAATACATAGTCGTATTTCATGTGAAAAAGTGCAAATAGAATAGATTGTCAGGTAAGTTTTAATTTTTATATTTAAAAAACATGACAATAAAAAATAAAAATATGGTACTTTATGGAAAAATATTTTTCTATTTCAGAAATTATTAAAGCCAACTCCAAGAAGAAGTACATACTTGTGACGATATTTCAGTTATTAATCACAAACTTGAACAAAATTTTGTAACAATACTGGAATACCATTGGATAAAAGTACATTTACAGTAAATATATAAGTTAATGCCATTGAATAAAAGTAAGGTTATTTTAGAGCAAATAGAAGTTAGTACATTTATATGATTCATTAATTTATTAAGGCCCGGTTGTTCCAACTTCTTGCTAAGCTTTATCCGTCAGATACCTATTTATACATATGTCTTTATTTATTTAGAAAATTAGATAAAAATAGACACATGTTTATCTAATAAATAAAGTTACCAAGAAGTTTAAACAACCGGTCCAAAGAGTTTGTCCAGACAAACTTTCATAGGTGCATAAGCATTTGCATAAAGAATTGGATTGGCCCATTGCTTTATGCATTTGCGTATGCCAATTAATTTCTTTATGCATATGTTTATGCGCTATGTAAATTTGTCTGAATTAACCCTAAAAAATCATTGGAAAAAACGAAGTACTTGTGCAATTGAAGAGTTGAAAATAAATAATGATTAATATTAGAGGTTCTATAACAGAGTCTGAATTTGCGGTTTTGTCAAAGGCTGATGCGGTCCACTTGACGCTACAAATGCTTCGAAGCATTCTTCTCCTTCTTTCTTCATTAAAAAAAAGGAGAAGAAAAAATTTTCGAAGCATTTGTAGTGTCAAAAGAACAGCAGCCATAATCACGTGAGAGAGAGAAAAATATATGGTGTTTCTCTGTCTAACCCACAGATGCTGTAAAGTGTTGAGAGACAATAATGTCCTAAATATTTACACAATAGTATATGTATACTTACATCATGCCACATATGTCACATATGAAGAAGTGGCATAACGAAAATCTTTGTCTCCTCTTCGTCGTCATTCTCTTCATCATCATTTTCGTAAATTATAGCTTTTAAGCAGACCATTTTACAAGTAACATCTTGGAGTAAACATGTACTTTTGATTTCAGTTTCAACTACCTGCCACATATCAAGTTTACCTGAATTGCAAGGATACGTGAACATTGGTTTTACAATTCTTAATTTGTTCCCAGTTAATACAATATCCTCTTCTTTTCCATTTTGCGGTATGTACATTGTCTCAATTTTTATTATTATTTTATTTGTGAGAGATATTACATTATTTGGTTCTGTACATGTCAATATAGTTTCTTTATATTTAATCTTTTTGACAGGAGTTCGTCCACATGGTTCAGAAAGGCCTGTTTTCAATATTATGACGGTCCGTGGTAACGTCACTTTGTTTGACTCTGCATAAAGCGATTCATGCTGTCGTCGGCAGAATTGTGCGAGTGGTCGATTTCCACTTCGAAGTACTTTTTTTATTTTTCCTAATAGACTCTCAAATGGAAAGGCTGTATAATTACTTAAGGAACACTTCATGTTTTTGACATCATCAGCTAGGTGAGTAAGACTATGGATATTTAAAACTATACTTTGAGTATTATAATATTGTTGTGTAAGCATAACAAAATGGCTCAAATAAACTTTTGCTTGAGAATTATATTTTAAACATAAGTTATCTGAGCTCAGGATCCTACATGCAGCATGAAGAAGGAGAAAATGATTATAATATCTCTTTTCCAGTATTGGCTGCAAAACAACAGGACCAACATAAAGCAAATACAATCTGTACTCTGTTGCTTTCCACTTGGCAATATCTGATATTGATCTTGTTGTTCGTTGAAAGTCTACTGGTATTTGTGATTGTAATCTAACTAAACTTTGTGACAACTGACGTTTTTTACTTTGACTCAGTTTTGTAGCTAGATTTCCTTCCAACCAAAAATCAAGCATCATTTTTTTCATGACACCTAAGCAACCTTGGTGCATGAAATCAAGAACAAATTGTTTTATCATATCGATCGGAGGTTCTAAACGAAGAAGTGGAGAGATGCTGATGTGATGCTCAGAGTCTTCTTGTGCTCTAAATGATTCATCGGTTCGTTTATCACAAGTTACAGAGGGATAAACAGTTCGATTTTGACAACGTTGTCCAGGAACTAAGCATCGTTCACATGCGTTATATCCTCCATGACCTTTTATGCATTTAAGAAATGAACGTGCAGGTCTATCGCAAATAAAGCACATAATACGCACCTTAAAGATTCGTTCTTCGATTATAACACCTTCACGTGTCAAATCGTTCACTTCCTTTATGAAGTCATTTAAATAACTGCTTACATTATTGGGTTTTTCATTACCGGAAAATATAGCCACAGTAAAAGGTTTGTATATGTCCGGAGTGTTGTAAACTTTACATAAAATTGGCCAAAATTGTTTCGCGCTAGACTTATATAAAGGAAGACCATCACAATTTATTTGCAGATCGAGTGTATCTGTTAGATGTACTTCTTTATTCACACATCTTTGAAGACCTGCCGTTATTCCAAAATATACGAATTCACCTATAATCGCACCATGGTTTGATCTGAAATCTTTAATTTGATAATTAGCCGATGTTGTTTTCAAAAATGTTTTAGATGTTGTTGGCAAATTTGGAATTAATTGTCTTCTTAAAATTCTAAGTAGTGTATCTAAATGACAATGTTGAATACGAGACTGAATTGCCCATTGTCGAATCTGTGCTACATCATCCCATGCTTCATCGCTTTCATCATTTGTTTCCTCACTATTGTCGTTATTGTTGTCTTCGCTATCAGTAACATCTCTCATTACTACTTCTCTGGTTTCATTTTCTTCTCTTTCGTTTTCAATATCCTCATTAATGCTTTGATTGTCTTCAAAAACATTTTCATTTTCCACATCACTATTTTCATATTCTGTATTATTTACGTGATCTTCGATACTATGAGAGCTCATGTGATTTTGTATAATATTCACATTTTGTTCATTAATATCGAGTTCACTACTTGATGAATCTTGATTAGGCACAATTAAATTATGGTCGTTGGATGTTGACGCCACTCCATAAACATCTGAATTTGGATGGTTATTATCTGGGAATAATAGTTAATTATTTTAGTTCTTAGAATTTTATACATGATTTTAATGTATTTGACGTTATATAAAATAAAATTATTTGAACTATAAAATTACATTTTATTTGATATACATATAATACTATATACGTACCGTGCGATTCAGTTCTTGAATAAATTGTTGATTTACGAACTGATCGAAATCTTCTCACGCGGATTCGTGTCAAAAAACGCTTTTTATCCCAATTTCTATTCATAATAAACATTAATTAATATTCACTTTATTTACTAGAGGTTTAATATATTTTGCCACCACTTCGATAACAGATGCAGTATTATTACGAAATTGCAGGTTAGGTTAGATGCAGTATTTTACGAAATTGCAGGTTAGGTTAGGAACATATATTCAGGCTAACATTTATCAAACCCTATGAGGGAAATGATGGGGACAAGAAAATCAGGCCCGTATAACAATAACCTGAAAAATGTTTGAAAAGAGCGTCCCCGTTGCGCACCGGATCAGGCCCATGTCGGGAATTTCTTATTAGGGCATACCTTACTGCTTCCCGATCAGGCGCTAACCATACATCGGGCATGCCTAATCTAATTTCTGCTCGGGTTTCTTTCATAAATTCCAATATAATAATTAATCAAGACTAATTTCACTTAAACAAATTAAAAGCACTGAGAATCATTGAATATTTGTAACGCATAAGAGAAAACCTTGAAAAACAAATTATATTTGTGAAAGGACTATTAATGCAAAACATTTCAAAATACAATATAATACAAGTATAAATTCAAAATATAATGAATATATATAGAAGAAATGGAATACTGCATGGATTAATGTGGTATCTTCCTAATGAAGAAAATAGATTTCAGAGAAATCAATGTTAAACAAAATTAAGTGGTTCTTAACCAATACGTATACCCTTTTTTCCTTTTGTAATTCCATGCATTAATCCACAATAAACATGACACATATTTATATAAATTTCATCAATCGTGCATAATATGGTTTAACCATTGGATAATGTTTATGAAATAATTCTTCGTTTCAAATGAACTTAACGATATTCAACTTATGATAAAGAAAGGATATACTGACTATTGAATCGCAATAGAGTACATTACATCATGTGAACATGTACTATTTTACGAAATATTAACTTTACAGTTTCGATGAGTTAATTCTCGATTAATATCTTAACGAATCCTTACAATCTTTATACAATATACGTAATTTTACAATGAAAAGAAGCGAATATACCAAATATGCGTGGTTGCAACCAAATTCTTTTTATACTTGATTACTCAAGTGAAATGAGAAGAATCTTGTCTTAAACAGTGGCCACCGATTGATCGAAAATATTGGATTGAATGCCTTGCCGAAACGCAAGAATGGTTGTTATACATCCAAAATCCAATAAGAAAGAAAGCTCTCGAATGTTCTGTGCGAGCTTTCACTTTACGTGAAAGCTGATTCCAGAGAGGAGGAATACCGCCCTTACGAATAACGAGAGTTACCTTTGCGTGCTTTCATTTTACGTGAAAGTGACTTCAAAGAGGAGGAATACTGCCCTTCGTGTGAAAACTTGGAAGTGTATTTCCATCGAATGTATTTTCCAATCGTCCTTCCTTCTTTAGTAATGGCGGATGCCTTTTCCTTATATCTGGCAATGGCAGATATTTTTCCAGTGTCGGTAGTCGCCTTTCTTTACGTCGTGCTGCCGTATTTAATATATTCGTCGTTGTAATTACGATTGAGTATGACTTGAAACGATTGATTGAACAACTCAATATCCTTTTTACAAAGAATATTAGAAACGGGTAAAATACACGGCACGACTCGAAACGCGCGACTTTTGTAGACGAAAATGTGGATATACGCACGATCGTGAACGAACGTTATTGATACAATGACGATCGTTGCTACGCAAGCTCGATACTTCCGTAACGAACGCGGAAGTCAAGTATCGTAGCGCCATACGGACGCGGAAACCAAGTATTGCAGCGCCTTTGCGTGCGAAACATATGTACTACCAATGTCACTAGACCCATGTATTAGTCTCTATAGAGTGTTTACGTAGAGTGCTTACGGAATCAGTTGCTTACTGGCGAATACCATAGATGGCAACACGCCATTTTTCATTCGTCGATAAATCGCTGTGTTTTCAACACTCTCTCTCTTACTTTCTCTTTCTCTTTTTTTAAATATTATTCTCTATCTTACATTATATTATTTTTCTCTTTCTTTTTCTTTCATTCTCTTTCTATAAAATTCAAATTTACTTACATTATGCTCCTGTAAAGTGCATGCATTTTCGCTGTTTTTCTCTTTATTGATTTTTGCAGGCTTCTGCAATTTCCTTTTTGAAAATAGATTTTTTAATTCTTCCGCCGTAATGATACCGCTATTCTAAAAAAAGATATATATATATATATATATATATATATATATATATATAT